GTCTTCGGACAGCGCTGGCTCTTCGGCTTTGAAACGGAGATGAGCAATGCCCCCTAGAGTCGGGAATGACTGGCACATATGTGCAAAGATAACCTTTACCTTTACTTTTAATGTTTAAGGCGTGACACAAAGAAGAGAGGCCGTAGTCCTGCCATTTACCTCCCAACAACCAATAAGATCATACAGGTTGGGCCTCCTCTGGGTGTCGTCGACCGGACAATGCCGGCTGGCGGCTCCCCGAGGGAGGGCCTTCTCTGTGGCTGCACCGGCCTTGTGGAACGAGCTACCCGCAGAGATCCGGACCCTCACCACTCTCCCTGCCTTCCGTAAAGCGACTAAGACCTGGCTGTTCCGGCAGGCCTGGGGCTGTTGATTAATTTCCAGCCCCACTTGATGGAATGGATGTTGTATTGATTTTAATTTTTTATTTTTAAATGTTTTAAATGCTTTTACTTGTTGTGAGCCGCCCAGAGTCCCTAGGGAGTGGGCGGCATACAAATCCTATTAAAGTTTAAAGTTTAAAATGAATCACTCCAGCTGTTAAATTAGTAACACCGTTGTTAAGTGAATCTGACGTCCTCATTGACTTTGCTTGTCAGAAGGTCACAAAAGGTGATTCACGTGACCCTGGGACACTGCAACAGTCATAAATATGAACCAGTTGTGAAACATTTGAAGGTAAATCACGTGACCCTGGGGATGCTGCAATGGTCATAAGTGTGAAAAACAGTCATAAGTCACTCTTTCCAGTGCTGTTGTAACTTCGAATGGTCATTAAACGAACTGTTGTAAGTCAAGGATTATATCTATATGTTTCTTTTCCACCTCATTTGTTCTAATAAGTAAAAACAAACGCAGATGCCAGGGAGCAATTCTGTTTGGGTACCCTTTTAAATGACTTTGTGCTCTTTTCTTTCTGATAAACAGGCGCTTGCTGTTCCGAAGTTCGAGCATTTTGCCCCATGATGAAGGCAAAGGACCTGTAGCATTTGTCCACAAAAAAGTTTCAGAGCCTGGACCTTTAGGCCATGCAGGTCAATCAAAATGTACGTCTTACTTTATTGAGCCAGTGCAGTGGATGGAGGCAGCACTATTAGGAGTGTTGGAAGGACAGGTGAGGAAAAGAATCTGATTTTTTTTTATTTTGAAGAAGGTTCAAAATAATAGTTGCTGCTTTGCTAAAAGCTGAACAAAGACCTATTTAAATGTTGATATATATATGTTAAATAATTTGAATATGGGGAAAGCACCTGTAGCTTGCATACTAGAAGGAGGGAAGTATACTTAACTCCTTATCCAGGTAAGACTGCCAAAGGTTGTCTTATGTTAGGAAAAGGAGTTATCTATCCTTCCCTGATACCGTTCATGCTCTCTGTTCAGCTTTCTGACCAGTTTGGCAGCAGAAGTTATGGGCCATGTTGAAGTGAACCCTCCCTAACTTAATTCATGATCCACAGTAGAATTGAAGCTGCATTGATACATGCATTGGTCTGGCCCCAACGTTCATTCAATCTCTATATGCTAACTAGACCATGTAGACCATGTAGAGTAACTGATAAATGATCACTAAATTTATTCAGAGAGAATAAACTGTTTTGAGACATTGTGGTATTGTGAAAGCTTGTAAAAACACCAGATCTTTTGCTACGTTGTCTGTATAGAAGATGCAGCATTGCAGCAGATTTCCTCAAGGTAAAATTGTTTCCAATTCATTTTATGGCAGTAATTTACTGCATGAAATTAATGGATGGAAAGATTTTGCTTTCCTTTGTTTAACTCAAAAATGTGAATTCTTCAGAGATATAATTGATATGTAGGGTCAGAAATTAGTAGCTATATTGTCAGCAATGCCACCAATGATGTCTACTTCTATGGATGCTAATGAAGGAATGGAAGATACGAAACAAATTTTACCTGATGCAGAAATTGTATAACCAGAAATACTGGGTAACAAAAAAGGATAGATTATAAGATAGGGAAGGCAGTTAAAGCAGAAACATTAGATAATAGAAGGATTCTGACAATGACTTTCTACTGGAGGCACAAAAGAAGTAGGTTAAAACTTTGAAAATCAAAATGGAATTACAAATAATAAGCCAAGAGAATGACCCAGATAATGACTTTTTACTGTATTTACAAAAGAGGTTTGCTAAAGTCTTGAAGAAACCTTTGGAATGGGAAAAAAAGAAAAAAATGAAGAGAGACCAAATCCTACAAAAATTTCTGAGTGAATAAGAATTATTTCAACAAGAATTATTTAAAAAAGAGATAATTGATATAAAATTCAGTCAGTGCTATCAAGGGAGGGGGGAGAAACCTTTTTCATAATAAAATTTTATAATTCCCTTACTTTAGGTCAACTGGAAAAGAAGTTACTCTTGGTTTTGAAAAATTAACACCTTGATTGTTTTAGAGCAGCCTCTTAAAAGAATAAATACCTAGGCTATTAATATTAAATGAAACAATATCAGAACAAAGGGAATTGCAGCAATAGAATCATAGAGTTGTATCTATTATAAAACCACAATGAAAAGTATTACTGAACAAAGGAACAACATTACTGCCCACTGATAGTTGTATTATAGGTGACAAAATATTGTAAACGTGGAATCTACCAGTATATACAGTATATGGATAGGTTATTCTGTATTCCTTCATGGAAAATTAACTAGTAAACTAAGTTCAGTAAAAAGAAAAGATAGATCAAGACATTTTATTGAAATATAGCCCCCCTCCTTTATTATATCAGGATGTTGGGTTGTCGTGTGTGTCTGTGTGTCTGTGTATACATACAATATACATACATCTCTCTCTCTCTCTCTCTCTCTCTCTCTCTCTCTCTCTCTCTCTCTCTCTCTTTCTCTGTCTTTCTCTCTCTGTGTGTGTATTTTGGATTATCCTATGGCACCTTTTCCTTCAGTATTTAAACATCAAATCAAAAATATATTCATTTTTCTCAAGGAAACAAACCATGTGGCTTTTGGAAAAAATGAAAAGTTGAAAAGTCATATGTGACACATGGGCCTAGAAAGAAGTGCAGTATTGGTAGAAGATATGAAGCCTGTATAGATTGGGTAGTGAATAAGAAACTGAGAGAGAAAAATTCAACAAAAGGGAATTCTGAGATCTTGAGCATAAGAGCAGATTTTAAGAGAATGCCAGATGGAGGAAACATTTTCTAAAGTTTTTAAAAGAGACCAGGAAGAGGTGGGCGGTATCAGGGAAAAAATGAATGCTGTCAAGGGGGTTGGGATAGGATGTTTTAAAATCAGGAACCAAAGCAAATTGTGAGAAGAAGCATACGGTATTGTTTTTTTTTCTTTAAATGGTCTTCTAAAGGTCACATGTTATTGTGTGCACTTACAAGAAGAGATACCTAGGAGTACAGGGTTTGGGAAATAGGGCAGTAAAAAGAAGGAGGCCAAGTTCTTAATCTAATTCACAAAAAGTTTCAAAGTGAAGAGTTCCACATGTTCCATGCTTGTTTTTTAAAGGCAAAAGGCCAGATAGACTATCAACTGTCCCTTCTCTCTGATTCTCTTGTAGCTCCTGTGCCCAAAATGTACATCAAAGTTGGGTTCTTTTCACTGGCATGGTGAGCAGTGTTCCTGTGGTCATTGGGTGACTCCAGCCTTCCAGATTCACAAGAATCGCATTGATGAAGTAAAAAGATTGCCCATTGGAGAGCCACAGAATGTGACAAAGTGAACTTGGTTTGTATTAGGACAACTACATATGCCTGGTATAAAGAGACACAATTTAATCAATGCTTTAAATATCAGTGGCCTTGCGCAGTATTTATAATACAATAATAGTAGGCCAAATACGCAGCAGAGCTAATTACACATCACAACGGAACATTTCTTGAAATAGTTTTAATTTCTTAAACTGAACACTAAAATTTGTGATGACAAATTGTGGTCAGGGTATATTTGCACAACATGACTGCTACCAACCAAGACTACTGTAGTTGCAAATATGTCTAGAGGCTCTTCCTTATGAACAACGGCATTGTGAGAACTGCATTTTCCCAATAAAAAATTTTCCTGAAAGTTTGGTGTGCGAGTTTATGACCAGAGAGGGAAGAGGCAGGATGTTAAATTTTAGAAATGCTCAATTATCAAAAATATAATTGAGGTTTGTTAGAAGATCTCATATGAGATGTGCTTCTGTAAAGATAATTCTTCTGAAAGTTGAGTTTAGAACGGGTGGGCTGCTCACCTCAGCTTCTGGGAGTTTTGCCACATGTATAACCAGCTGCTCAAATACAAATCTTGGCAAGTAGCCTATTGTATGAATGTTTAATCCATTTCCAGCAAGATCTGTTCAGCATGGTTCTCTTGAGGAATTTTGGAATTACTACAGTTAAAAAATGCAAACCATATTTGCATATTCTTTTTAATTTTGTATAATTTGATTTTTTTTAAAAAAATGCTAACATTCTTGTGAAGTAGAATTTGGCAGTCAGAGCTATATTGAACTGCATACAATGGAGTTAAAATGGTCAGGGCAGTTTATTGGAGAAAAGTAGCTGAGACTAAAGCTAAAAATCATAAATCTGAATACAACATAAAAAATTGTATAGAAGCAGCAGAAATGTCATAAAACAAAGTCCAAAAATATCCCTTTCAATTAAAAAAGACCTAAGGGGAAAAACAATAATGTTTTCTGGGGAAAAGTGAAGACTACATTTCAAAAGAAGAGTGCTGTACAACACTGAAAGGGCCTGGTTATAGCTACCCACCTACCTCTTCTTCATAGGCTTAGGTGGAGTACTCTTGTAGTCAAGCAAGGGCTTTCCAACCTATGGATGTTCATAGAAGGACTATTTATCTACACTCTGGCTAATTAATCATTGTCACTTGTTTACTGTTACTTATAAAAGTCAGAAGAAGTGCTATGTTAAATTCAGAGCTTATCATGATAGCACTATCTTGTCCAATAAATATGTTTGAAAGTTGCTGGACATTCCATATTCCCAATCAAATATCATGCAACAATATACTACCATGTTAAGATTTATAATTCTGTGTTGCAGTCCTTTTCTGGCTTTTAGTAATTAGTTTATTCTTTATGGCATTAAATGTTTTAATCTTATGCTTATTTAAATTCATAACCATATAACTGGTGTATGGGTTTGAGATCTTAGTTTTATGAATTCATTTTTATGATTTCTGATTGCCTTTGTATTCCTTTGTATTGTTTTCACAGTTAAGATTTTTTAAATCAACTTATACCATCATAACTTCAAAGTTGCTGACAATTATTACAGTTCTACATTTTAAATTCTAATTAGAGTCATTCATAAAGTTTAAATAGCTTTGTGGACTTTAATATTAAATTTTAATATTAATATTAATTTTAATTTTAATATTAATATTAAAATTTTCTTTTTTTTATTGTTTGATATAGAGAGACACCTGGATGTAATTCATACCATTATACCTGTTGCCACTAAAGATGTTTTTGGTAATAAGTATTTTATTTAGTTTATTCTAGTAAAGCTCTATCAAATTATACCAGCCTAGTATTTCATCATGTTAACTGGGCACATATTTAAATTTAATGCTGTTAATTTCCACAGTACTAAACACAATAAAAATAGATTTCCCATAGTTTCTATTCTATCTGGAATTTTCACCTTGTAAATCTCTAGGCCAGATTGCCAACTGATTGCTCTGTATTTTCTCCCATTTCTCTCCAGTGGGTTTTTTTTTGGGGGGGATGCTCATTTATTCTTCTGATAAAGTATCATTACAATTCAAAAGGTGAAGACTATTGTAAAAATATTGCTTTGACTCCACATTAACATACACATACATTGGAGGCAATGCTTTTTCACTTTCTTTATTTCATACCTAGCCCCAGATTTTCAGTTCCCTTTTCTTCTATTAAAGGCTCCTGCCATTGCTGCACCAAAATTTATTTTTTTAAAAAAA